TTCTGGAGTCAGAAGTGGAAATGATGGGTGACCTCAGCAGAGCACTATGGGAAGATCTTACTTCCAAATTTGGCATTGCCACCTGTAGCCATGTGCCTTTGGGAAAGCTGTTTCACTTCTCCACGTGGGTTTCCTCATCTTCCACATGTGCACAATGTCACCTACCTTTATGCACCATTGGAAACATTAAAGGGGGCAGTTGGGGGTGGGAGGCTTAGTGATGGCAGCTAATTTTGATTTTCTCAAACATTGAACTGAGGACTCTGGGGGAAGGGGGGTATGTGTGCCTTGACCGTTTGATGGGGGTGACATTACTACTGTGGTCTTTTGGGGTCTTTTGCAGATTTGCTCCCTGGAATGCCAGGCTGCTCTGCTGCCCGCTGAGGAGTGGGAGAGGTGCCAGGGCCTTCTGTCTTTTTTCACCCTTTTCCCTCTTGGGCTCCATGACAAGGAAGACTCGGAGAGCAAGGCGGTTCTGGAAGAGCCCTATAGTGAACTGGCCAAGAGCATGGGGCCCTCCCTGAAAGAGCTGGAGAAAAACAGATTCCTCCTCAGCACCCCAACGGAGGAGAAAGCTTTGAGCAGGAGCCTGGCAGAGAAGCTCAGAGGTCTCTCTGGCAGGTTGGGGCAGGGAGCAGAGTCAGAGCTGGTGGGGGACACCCAGCTGAATGATGGCACCATGGAAGCTGCAACACTGGATTCTGATGAGGGGGACCCGAAGGAGCAGGTCAAACGCTATGGGGGCTTCTTGCGCAAATACCCCAAGAGGAGCTCAGAGGTGGCTGGGGAGGGAGATGGGTTAGGGGATAGGGTGGGCCATGAGGACCTGTATAAACGCTATGGAGGTTTCTTGCGGCGCATCCGTCCCAAACTCAAGTGGGATAATCAGAAGCGCTATGGCGGTTTTCTCCGGCGGCAGTTCAAGGTGGTAACTCGGTCTNGCCATTTACTAGCCTTAGAATCTTGGCAGGTGTCTTAATTCATTTTCCTCATCTGTAAAATGGGCATGACAATGGTTCTCACCCCATGAAGTTGCTACGAGTATAAATGAATTCATCCGGAGAATTACTGTGAACATTTTAAGTGCTTAACAACCATTGGACAAGCTAGAATTATTATTATTAAACATAAAGGTAATGGATGAAAGGAAAGGATGCTGAACTAGTTTTGCCCAGGACAAAGAGGTCTCAAAAAGGGCCTCCTACTACAGCAGCCAAGCTGTGTGGGGAACATCTGGCCAGGAATGAGAGGGTGGGTATAGGCTTCTCTCCCCAGCTGGTTAATTCACTGCTAATCTTGCAACAGGCCAGCCCAGCCCAGCCATCACTAGTATCTGAGAAAACATGAACTGCCTGCTTTGTATCTGCATGTAAGTGGCACAGCTTTCTCGCCTGGAACCCAAATCCGCTCGGCAGCTGATAGAGCGTGAGAGAAACTCGAGGACAGGAGAGAGACATGCGATAGACACAGGCCACTTCCCTGAGTTTTCTTCTCTGAGCCCCCCTGCTTAGGAGAGCAGACCTTGCCTGGCCAAAGAGAGGCAGACGGACATGAGTTCTCACTTTTAATTGCTCTGCAACCTTAGGAGATTGACCAAGCCTCTCAGAGCACCAGTTTTCTCATTTATAAAGCGGGGATAATGATACCCACCTCTCAGAGTTGGTGGGTGGATTGAGAACAATTTATAAGTCAACGACCTGTGCATAGGGCCCTCTGAGCCTCCTGGAGGATTCAGCTGGTAGCGAATCAGGTGTTCTAGAAATTGTAATCATTAAGGGCACACGTGTGGGGAGTCAAACAAAACAGCCTTGCATCCCAGCTTCACTGCTCACGGAAGGGATGGGCAAGTCACAGAACCGGAAGTGCCCACTTCACTGGGGAAGAATAAATGAGACGATGGATTTAGGGCTTTAGCTCAAGGCCTGAAGCACAGTAAGGGCTTCATGAATGGTGGCTGGGATCACTATCAGGCAGGCCTTGGTGAGGGAACCTACTGTGTGTTCTAAGGGAACTGGATCTGGGATACAGCATGGGGCTCTGGGGCCGTGTGATGGAATCTTCTAAACCCCTTGAACATGTGAGCAAACAGGGCAGTTGGCAGAAATAGGGCACATGGAGGACGGAAGGAGGACAGCCAGCCCTGACAGTGGCATTAGAGGCATGAGGATACAGGACCAGGCTGGTAGCAGCATGGAGCCCTGCCCCAGGCAGGTGTCTTGGGGGATCACCCCATTTCCAGCTGGGAAAACTGCCTCGTAATGCCATTTGAATGGCTTTGACTTTTCATATTTGGTTTATAAGGAGTTAACTATGAAAGGGGCAGTTTTTAATAGAGTATTTGTGAAGCATTAATTTATCCGCCTAAGTATTTACTGAGGGCCTCTTATGTATTAGTCAGGATTATAGGGCCTAGGATACAGCAGGGACCGTGACCGTTAGTGTCTGTGCCCCTACGGAGCTAACATTTGAGTGGGGGAGATGATGACAAACAACAGCAATAACACACATCAAACAATAGGACAGTATGAGATGGTGATGCCCATGAAGCAAGAGTGATGTGAGACCCAGGAAGCCCCTTTAAATACAGGAGTCAGCCAATGCCTCATGGGTGATGTGACATTTAATGCATTGGATTATAAGAAGGAGCGAGCTGTGGGAAAATCAGGGCAGAGTGCAACAGACAGAGCAACAGAAAGTGCAAAGGCCCTGAGGTAGGAGCCAGCAAGGCATGTTTGAGGAACACAGAATATTTCAGAGATGAAGACAAGACAAAGTCTAAAGCCTTCATGGAAACAAAGCCTAAAGCCTCGTACAGCTAATTACCAAACAGTGGAATGTTTTGATGGAGGAGGCACAAGTTGCTGGGACAATACAAAGGAGGGGCTTCCCACCCAGTGTAGGATATCAGGGAAAGCTGCCTGGACAAAGTGATGTTTAATCTAAGATGTAAATGACAGGTAACTGAGGAGGATAGGAAGGGTTTTCCAGGCAGAGGGAACAGCATGTGCAAAGGCCCAGAGGTGGGACAGGGCTTGATAGATTCATTAGGGGAATTGTAAACAGCTGGATATGGTTGGAACCCAGAGCTGAAGTGTGCGGATTGAGGATGTCTTTGACATTTAGGAGAAGGACAAAGTGTGATCCATCCCAACAGGTCTGATCACAGAATTTATAGACTGAACATGGCAGGAGGGATCAGAGAATGAACTGGAGGTAGGGAGGCCAGCATGGAGATGGGTGAAGGTGGAGCTATGGCCAGAGTGAGCAGAAGTGCTGCAGTGGAAAAAGCAAATTGCAGAGACATTACACTGCAGAAAGGTCTGGCCTGGGGACAGCTTGGGGAGCAGGGGACAAAGGCAGGTGGATGGAAGCCTCAGAGAACTCAGAAGAGTGGATGGCTGAGCATCTTCTGGCTTGGTGGGTGATCAAAGTGGGTTTTGAAAGATGACTGACCCNCCCTTCTAGCTCACTATGGGGTTTGCTTTCCACCTCTCACACGGATGAACCACCAAGTTGCTCTTCTCCTCAGCTCATCCCAAATCAGAAATGACAAGAAGTCAGGGCTTCTTGTCTCTGATGGATGACTTCCAAGCAAATCCCCACAGCAGAAGAGAAAATGCTCCCCCTGGGACTCATCTCAATAATTTGCTCAATAATTTGTTTATCTTACAAAAGGAAGGAAGTAGGCTTTCTCAGGAAAATCTCAGAGCTGATGTATCTCTATTAGAGTCACCTTTTAACCCAGAGACATCTGTAACAATCATTTAAAAGCCAAGTGAACTTCTCTCCCAGTGTCAGTCTTGTCCTCTTTACATTGGGTATAAAGACCCTCATCTCTGGGTTGTTGCGAGGATTAGAATAATATGTGTGACGTGATAACACACAGCTGGCACCTAGAAGGCTCTTGAGAAGTGGTGGCTGTTATTGAATTGATGTGACCATGAATAAGGAACACTTGGCCCCACCTGGCACATAGTAGGCCCTCCGCATATGGCAGTTAATTCATTCAACAATTTTTTTGAGTTTCCCCTGTGTTCCAGACCCTCTGTTATCACTCCTTTTTGCCCTCTTCTTTTCCCATCTCCTGTAGCCCAAGTACTATTGGAACGGAGCCTTCATACTCTACTGTTTAAAGCACCTACTATGTGCCAGGCATTCTATACATGATCACTTATTTAATTCCTACACCAACCTTCTGAAGCATTATTATTAGCCCCATTTTATAGCTGAGAAAACTGAGGCACAACAGAGTTAAGTGATTTTCCCAAACTGGTGATAGTGATGGAATTTGAACCCACATTATAAAACACTTGTTGACTGAGCTTCTGGGTCAGAAAGAAATCGGAGGCCTCACCTCTCCTTTCTCACCATCTGTACCTCCCACCCCATACCACTTCTCCAGGTTGTTAGAGTTGTTGGACAATCCCGGGGTTGCAAACTCAAATGTCTATCAGGTGCTCTGTAGGGACAGACATGAGGGAAGCCACAGGGAGGGGATGGCGGTGACCAGGTGGCATGTGTCCCCTCTGTGACTGTTGCCAGATTAGACTGCAGGCCTCATGTCTCCAAGGCTTTTGATTTTTAAAGACAAGTTGGAAATTGAGACTTTTAAAATGTAAAACTTTCTATGGGAGTGGGGGGAGTGGGGCGGTGGATTGGGGGAAGGGAGTTGTCACTTTGTGAGGGGTAAAAACTATAACTATTGCATTGTTTTGTATACCTAAAACTAATAAAAATATATATATTTGGAAAAAAAACAAGAACTATAGAGACACTGTAAAAAAAATAAAAGTAAACCTTTCCCAATTTAAAAATGTTGGCAACAAAAATTACAAAAACAAAATCTCTGTGCAAGCCAGAACGCCCTCTGCCCATTTGCTGAGTTTGTCCTGCAGGCGGCCAGTTTGTACCTCTGGACGCTTGCCATGTGCTGGGCTGGGAGGAGGAAGCCGGAGGCCTCAGCCTCACCTCAGCCTGCCTGACCCCCAATGTCTCCACCCCTGTCTTTGAGAAAAAGGTAATTATGTGATAGAGCCAGCACAGGTGACTGTGGGAGCTCAGGGGAGGGGTCTAATCCAGACAGACTTCCTGGAAGAGGCGACTGAGGCTGAGTTTTGAAGAACAAATGAGTCAGCCAGGTCAAAGAGAGATGGCAGTGGGTGGGTGGGATGAAAAACACATTCCAGGCAGATGGAACCCCCTGTGCAAAACATTAGACGATGGGGCGCTTGGGGCATTCTTTGGAATGCCTCAAGGTGTGGTCAGGCCCAGGTCAGATGGAGCGCACACCAGGTTTGGGTGCTGTGCATATGATGGGGTACCTTGGACAGGTGGTGCAATCTCTCTGTGCCTCCGTTTCCTCATCTGTAGAATGGGGGGAATATTAGTCTTATTAGTCCCAGCTTTACAGGGTTGTTATAAAGACCTCTTACATTAAGATGCACGTGAGACTCAGCACAGGACCTGGCACACAGTGAGCCCTGCTCAATGCCAGTCCTTCTCAGTAGGAAAGCCCTTGAGGCCCCAGCTATGGGGTGCACTTCCTCTCAAAAGCCACTGACAGCCGGGATACAGGGCAGGGCAGCAGTCAGACTGGTGTTTTAGAATTGTCCTCTGGCTGCTGTGTGGACGGTGGGTATCTTAGCCTGGAGGGGGCTAATACAGACTCCTGGGGAGGGATGGATTGAAGGGGGTGGTGAAGAAGGTGGGTTATGGAGGCAGGCTGCCTGGGTGCAAATCCCAGCTTGGCCATTTACTAGCCTTAGAATCTTGGCAGGTGTCTTAATTCATTTTCCTCATCTGTAAAATGGGCATGACAATGGTTCTCACCCCATGAAGTTGCTACGAGTATAAATGAATTCATCCGGAGAATTACTGTGAACATTTTAAGTGCTTAACAACCATTGGACAAGCTAGAATTATTATTATTAAACATAAAGGTAATGGATGAAAGGAAAGGATGCTGAACTAGTTTTGCCC